CCGCTCTCGGCATGGTTTCAAAAGGGTACCGTAGTGTAAATTGGTTTTATGATGAACCTGTTAGTATTCAACACCAGGTCACATAGGAACTCTGAAAATTAAAAATTCAGAGAAACGACCTGGTGGACGACACAAAGTTACAAAAAGAAAAGGTTTTGCGGCTTTGCAAATTAGCTGAGGGAAACTGAGGGTTAAATTTTCAAAAAGGTTGTAATTATTAACTTCCTTTAGAGTAATCAGTAAGTCGGACTGAAAGATTGTTGCTACTCCTCCTCCTCGCCCAGAATTTCTTGGTATGTGAAAATTTAAATAACTATAAGGAGTTGCTTAATTTATGCTAATCTTCATAATCTTCTTGCTGCTGCCAAATTTCTGTAAGGCAACATAAATCAATGTGATTATTACAAACCAAGTCATTAACTAGCAGACTTTTTGAAGAAAGAAATATTAAATAAACCACATTTACCCTTTTAACTTTTTCCCAATCCGAGGTATTTTTATTTTTATTAGATTATCATAATTCACTCCTTTGGGATGCTTTCCTAATTTATTTGATTTTGGTCATGGGCAAGACATGGACAAGACACTCCCACCCCCCAGTAGATGCAGCAAACACTTCCTAAATTACCTTAACAATTTCTTTGGAAGATTCAAGGCACTAAACAGCACTCCAGCAGTTAAAGCTGGTCAACAGGAGGAGGCACTCAACCTGGACATAGCTGAAGTGAGGAAAACTCTGAGGAGAGTCAACCTAAGAAGGCCCCAGGCCCTGATTACATAGCTGAGCGGGTGTACAAGGAGTGTGCAAATGAGCTGGCTGGTGTCCCCCACAGAAATTTTCAACACCTTGCTGGACCGATCCATAGTGCCAACATGCTGGCATGCTGGCACTATGGATAGTACTATGACTATGGATAGCACTATGATGGGAAACCATCATTCCGGTCCCAAAGAAGCCTCAGGTCACCTCACTCAGTAATTACCGGCCTGTAGCACTGACTCCCATCATGATGAAGTGTTCGAAAGGCTGGTTAAAGGACACTTCGTCTCCTGTCTGCCGCGTACATTTGACCCACTCCAGTTCGCCTATCAACAGAACCGCTCCACTGAGGACACCATCTCCTCTGCTCTTCACCTGAGCCCACATGCAGATGCTGTTCCTGAACCTCAGTTCAGGTATTAACACCCTCATCCCACAGCGTCTGATAGGCAAACTGGAACAGCTTGGCTTCAATACACCCTTTTGCAATTGGCTGCTAGACTTCCTAACAGACAGACCTAAGTCAGTCCTGGTTGGACAGAACACCTCTGATGTCACCACCCTAAGCACAGGCTCCCCTCAGGGCTGCGTCCAGAGCCCTCTGCTGTTACCTCTGATGACACATGACTGCGTCCTCAGGTTCACCACCAAAAGTTCGCAGACGACACTATGGCGGTGGGCCTCATCAGGGTCGACAAACACCAAGTCTACAGAGAGGAAGTCGAGCAGCACAGACAACCTCACCTGGAATGTAAACACCACCTCACTGGTCAAAAAAGGCGCATTTACTTCCTGCTGAGGATGAGGAGAGCCCATCTGCCCCCGCCCATCCTCACAACCTTCTACAGAAGCATCATAGAGAGCACTTTAAACAGCTGTCTCACTATGTCGTGTGAAGGCTGCATTGCCTCAGACTGGAAGTAGTTGAGGAGATTTGTGAGAACTGCAGAAAGGATCATCAGGGCTCCATTAAAGACATTTCATCTCAGCGCTGCATGTACCGAGCCCGTAACATTATAAATGACCCCTACCATGGACTGTTCTCCCTGCTGCCCTCTGGGAAGAGACTTTGAAGCATCTGATGCAGTTCCAACAGATTCCAGAAAGGCCTCTTCCCCATTGTCATTAGACTGCTGAATGGTGCCTAAAATGGGGGTTAAAAACTTTTAAAATGGACTTACACTTTAAAAATTGAAATGTCTTGAGAGCTGTACTGAACGAAATTTCTTTTTGTATACACTCTGTGTTTACAAAATGACAATAAAGTCTAAGTCTAAGTCTAAAGAGATATCCTCCAGCAAGACAATGATCCAAAATATGAGGCAACATCTACCATGAAATGGTTCATAAATAAACATATCCAGGTATTAGAATGGCAAAGTCAAAATCCAGACCTCAATCTAATTGACAAGCTGTGGAAAGAACTGAAAACTGCTGTTCACAAACGCTCTGTATACAACCTCACTGAGCTTAAGCTATTTTGCATGAAAGAGTGGGGAAAAGATTCTGTGTCTCGATGTGCAAAACTGATACAGACATACTCCTGGCGACTTGCAGCTATAATCACAGCAAAAGGTTGCACTTAAAAGGAGGCTGAATAATTGTGCACACCCAAATTTTCAGTTTATTAGTTAGAAAAGCTTAATATATCCAATAAATTTTGTTTCACTCCATGATTGCATTCCACCTATTGATCATTCACAAATAATTAAAATGTTATTTCTTTATGTTTGAAGCCTGAAATGTGGCAGAAGGTCAAAAAGTTTAAGGGGTCAGAATACTTTCGTAAGGCACTGCACTAGCTATGAGGCCTGCTTTGCCCTGGTTGAAATTCTACACAGAGTATTCCACACCCTTAGAAAAGGTTAAAAGAAGGTTGAAAAACTGATAAAATATCACAGTTGTTCTGCAAGAATAGGAAGATTTAAAAAAGCATCCTGGATCTTGATGCTTAAAGCATGAGAGACAATTTGGTATTCTTGGGTATCTAAGAACAGGACAAGGATGCCTAATAAGCTGCAAGGATTTTCTCCAAAATTAGCTGAAACTTTCTAGTGAACAGGGAGTTCCATCGTATTCACTGGCTAGGAGGTAAGAAGCCCAATAACAACCAAACTAGAGCTATGAGGGCTTAATTCGAACTCTATAAGCGAAACAATTAGGTCCAAAATCAGGGCAGAGAGCTATAACAAATGCACTTCAGTTTCTTGATGATGATAAGTTTTTCTAAAAACATTCTCAACCAAAGACATATTCTATTGCTGGTGAGAGAAAAAAAAAGTACATTGGGGCATCATGGCTGTGGAATAAACTATGTACATAGACAGATTATTAGGTATTGGGAAAACACTCTGTGGCTTTACTAAAAAAACCAACAGGTTATTCTAAGCATTTTCAGATCAGGTCACAGAGCCTCTGACTGCAGCCCAATCCTCTTAACCTCAGTCCCTCATGGATCCCTGCGGGTGATGAGCCCACAAGTGAATGGCTCACTCCGTCAGGCTTGGTCTAGGAACCTGACCACCAGACACTTGCTCACGAACCCCAACCCAAGGCCTAGCTCCAGGATGAACAACTATTTTGTAGTCTTCATGAGGGCTTTTTGAAAGGTTCTCTGTCTGACCCATCACCCAGATCCTTTGAGACCCTTACAACATAACCATCACATTAAGATGATTTAAGGAGGTGCCTTTATGTTTGTGTGTCGTTATCATCCCCTAAAATATATATATATATATATATATATATATATATATATATATATATATATATATATATATATATATATATATATATATATATATATATATATATATATGCAGTTTTCAAATGGGGTCAAAAAGTAAAAATACATTTATTCCTCTGAAAGAAATGTTGAAAAGAAGAGAAGCAGCTCCCACTGCTCCTGCCAAAGGTATACTTTGACAGTCACAAAGGTTCTGAAAAACTTTGCTAATGTGTACCAGGCTGTGATCTGTGTAGTGAGGTTGGTTGATAGCAGGGCAGGTTGCTCTGGCCGATTGAGATAACCTGTGGTGTTTGTGTAAAGTCAATGTTGATGAACTGATTATGTGGTATCATTTGGATGAATTCAGTCATATTCGAGTAGAATATTAGAGAGAAATATTTAAGAAAATGTTCGTTAAACTAGTTAGTGACCAAGACTTTCAAGGCAAAATTTGTCTAATGAAAAAAAGCTAAATATAACAACAGGTAGGATGGATATTGTTTGAATATTTTGATGAAGAAAGCAAAAAACAAAAAACAAAAGCCAGCCTTGCATTTCAAACCTGATAGTTTTGACACTAGAAAATACAAAAATAAAACAGTTTAACCTTTACATATTGTATGGGTAAAATATAACCCATTTGACATCCAACATCTATAACTGTGTCTTGTGTAGGATAAGTTACCTTCAGTCAATGAGGCTGCTAATGTAAGAAATCACATTTGTGGAGTCAACCTTTCTTCCTGGTACTGATTATGGTGATGTCTGATACCTGAAAAAAAAAAAAAGGTGTCTACCATGATTTTAAAAAGATAAACTTTTGAAGTCACAACAGCCAGACCTATTAATGTGACCGAACTGCAGTGGTCACAGTGACCAAAATAAACAAAGGGAGTAAATAAATTTTTATTAGGTTGCCTTTGTGGTTGAACTTTGAAACTGATTGAGAGTTGCAGAATAGAAATGCAAAAAGAGAAAATAAATCATAAGTTCTTTAATTTTCCTTCTTTTTGTGTTTTTTACCCTCTAAGATGGGAGAGAGACAAGCAATAAAGAAAAATAATATGACCATTTATAATTTTTGTGATCCCTTCAATTAAAAATATTATCTAAAGTGAAACTTTTGGAAAAAGAAAAAAATGAAACAAAGACAAACAGGTAAATAGTCATTTAACATAAAAGTTTTAAAATAATAATGTAATGATGTTAACATAATGTAAAAATATTGACATTCATTATGTTAGAGTAAGAAAATAGAGATATTTTACCAACAAAAGATTAATTATATGAAACTATTAAGTACCAAATTTTGCAACAGTATGTACACGTCTGACCGGTTTCAGGGAACAAGGTCAGGGGAACCTAACTTTCCATTATTGGATGAATTTAGCCAAAACCAATTTCTGACAAAAGATAAGCAAGTTATCCAGTCAAATACAAGGATATGTAAACAGCACAAATTTCCCTATAAAAGGCTCCCTCTCACCACAGACAGTCACAGCCTCATCAGCCATGAAAGCGGTTGTGCTAGCCCTGACTCTGGCCTTTGTGGGTGAGTAAAATGCTACCCTCGTTTAAATATTATATCCCATTTAATCTTAACTTGTCTTATGAGTTTTACTCTCTTTTAATCTTTAAATTAAAGTTTTTTTTTACCATCTAGAGAAACATTTTTCATTTTCCTAGCATTTAGTGAATCTTGATTTAGAGGACCTATACAGTCATTTTATCATTTTAATTGTAATAAAAGATTTCAATACCGATCAAGTTTATATGTGTATATATTCACTCATTTAAATTTTATCTTTTTTTTTTCTAACATTTGACTAATCATGTTCTTTTTTTCCATTAAAGCTGGACAAAATCCTAATTTTGGTAAGTTTAGTATTTCAATGTAAACTAAATTTTTCAATGTGTTACCGTATGTAAGCTTTAGTTACAATGACCAGTCTTGCTGAATTTTAGCAAATACAAAAAATTATGTGTTTTTTGGTGACAAAGATTCTCCATGTACCTTTTTATAAACAGGTAGATTAATTCTTACTGTGATACATTTTGTTCACAGCCCCTGAATTTGCTGCCGGTAAGACCTACGTCTATAAGTATGTAGCGTCAATCCTGGGTGGCCTTCCTGAGGAAGGTTTGGCCAGAGCTGGACTGAACATCAGCACCAAGGTGTTAATCAGTGCAGCTGATCATAATACTTACATCCTGAAGGTAAAAGTAACACCACAAAAATTAAAAAATATTAAAAATGTTCTAATCCGTAACTAACAGAGTTGATCTAAATCCATAACAGCTTTTGGAACCTGAGCTCTCTGAGTACAGTGGCATTTGGCCAAAGGACCCAGCAGTGCCAGCAACCAAGTTAACGGCAGCCCTTGCACCTCAGCTTGCGATTCCAATCAAGTTTGAATATTCCAGCGGTGTTGTTGGAAAGATATTTGCTCCTGAAGGAATCTCGACATTGGTGCTGAACATCCACAGAGGCATCTTGAACATCCTTCAGCTCAACATTAAGAAGACCCACAAAGTCTATGACTTGCAGGAGGTTTGTAAAAGAAGCACAAAATAAAACATAGTGGTGTTTTTGAAAAGTTATTTTTGAGTAATCTTCAAATTTCATGCTAAAATGGTGTCTGTTCTCCAAAGGTTGGAACTCAAGGTGTATGCAAGACTCTCTATTCCATCAGTGAAGATGCACGCATTGAGAACATCCTTCTAACCAAGACCAGGGATTTGAACAACTGCCAGGAAAGACTCATGAAGGACATTGGGTTGGCATATACTGAGAAGTGTGTCAAATGCCAGGAGGTAAAGTTAAAACCATTTATTATTTAGTACATTTCTTTGAAGGCTGAACATCACATTTAATATGGGACGTTTTTAACAGGAAACCAAAAACCTGAGAGGCACCACTACTTTCAGTTACATCTTGAAACCAGTTGCTAGTGGTGTCATGATCCTGAAGGCAGCCGTTAATGAGCTGATTCAATTTTCACCTTTCTCTGAGGCTAACGGAGCTGCTCAAATGAGGACCAAGTATGTTAAGGGTTGCTAAGAACAGGGGGGTGATAGCATTCTCTGTTGTATTTTGATCTAACTTATTTCCCCTCAAAATTTAAAGGCAGTCCTTGGAATTCCTTGAGCTCCAGAAAGACCCCATTCCATCTATCAAGGCTGAATATCGTGAACGTGGATCTCTCAAATACGAGTTCTCCAGCGAGCTTCTTCACACTCCCCTTCAGCTTATCAAGATCAGCAATGCACAGGCCCAGGTATAGTTTTGACTGCTTTTAAAGACAGGTCAAAATTAATCACATATACAGTGGCTTCAAATAATGGTACTCATTTCAATTGTGTGGTATTAGGTTGGAGAGGTTCTGAATAACCTGGCTACCCACAATGTGGAGAATGTTCATGAAAATGCACCTCTGAAGTTTTTGGAACTGGTACAGCTCCTCCGTGTTGCCCGCTATGAAGATTTGGAAATGTACTGGAACCAGTACAAGAAGATGTCCCCCCACAGGTATACATCAGCAATTAAACCTAAGTCGCAAATCAACACTGGAATTGCATTAACCTTTTATTTTTAAACATTTCCCCCTTTGTATTCACAGACACTGGTTCCTGGATACCATCCCTGCTACTGGTACTCGTGCTGCTCTTAGATTCATCAAGGAGAAACTCATGTCTGAGGAAATCAGTGTTGCTGAGGCAGCTCAGGCTTTGGTTGCAGCTGTGCACATGGTGACTGCTGACCCTGAGGTCATCAAGATGTTTGAGGTTGGTAATTGGAACTTTGTAATTAACATTGATTGTTACTAAGGAACAATGAATACATAAAGTATCTTATTTCTGTTCCATTCTAGAACATGATAGCCAGCAACAAAGTAGTTGAAAACCCAGTTCTGCGTGAAGTGGTCTTCCTTGGATATGGTACCATGGTTAACAAATACTGCAATAAGACAGTTGCTTGCCCAGTTGAACTCATAAAGGTAATATGACCACGTAAATTACATGTTTGTTTTCATTTAAAGGAGAAACTGTGAGAAATAAACTTTGTTAATGCCCAATTTCCATCAACAGCCCATTCAAAACAGGCTTTCAGAAGCTATTTCAAAGAACGAGATAGAGAACATCACCCTGTACATCAAGGTTTTGGGGAATGCTGGACACCCTTCCAGCTTCAAGTCACTCACCAAGCTCATGCCCATTCATGGCACTGCTGCTTCATCTCTGCCAATGAGAGTTCATGTTGAAGCCATCATGGCTCTGAAGAACATTGCAAAGAAAGAGCCTAAACTGGTGGGTTCTAAATTTAAGTATTTCAAATGATTTTTGTCTGTCCAAAGAGCTCCATTGTGATTTTATCTTTCTCCTCTGAATTAGGTTCAGGAACTAGCTCTCCAGCTCTACATGGACAAGGCTCTCCACCCTGAGCTGCGTATGCTTTCCTGCATTGTTCTCTTTGAGACAAGCCCCTCCATGGGTTTGGTGACCACTCTTGCCAACTCTGTAAAATCAGAGGAGAATTTGCAGGTTGCCAGCTTCACCTATTCTCACATGAAGTCCCTTAGTAGAAGCCCTGCAACCATTCATCCTGATGTGTAAGGCAATTATCTGTTAAAGAATTATCATCAAGTCATACCGACTAAGCTAAGTCATCTTTTTAATACTCCTGTCGCAGTGCCGCCGCTTGCAGCGTTGCAATGAAGATCCTGAGTCCAAAGCTGGATAGACTGAGCCTGCGTTATAGCAAAGCTGTACACGTGGACATCTACAACAGTAAGAAAATAAGGGAAAAAATGAAGTTTTATATTTACTGAATTATTAGCTTACCTATTTATCACAATCTATGTTAGGCTCCCTGATGCTCGGTGCTGCTGCAACTGCTTTTTACATCAACGATGCTGCCACCTTTTTGCCAAAAACTGTTGTTGCAAAGACCAGGGCCTTCCTCGCTGGAGGCACTGCAGAAGCCTTGGAGGTAAAACCATTTAACACTATGACTTAACAAATGCAAGAAAGGTATGTTCTTTTTACACTGTATTTTTGTATTTTCTTTAGATCGGAGCAAATATTGAAGGACTGCAGGAGCTGATTATGAAAAATCCTTCTCTTTCTGAAAGTACTGACAGGATCACCAAAATGAAGCGTGTCCTTAAGGCTGTAAGCAACAATCAAAATAAAAAATTAAAGGAAAAAAACACAATGAGCAGTCCTGCATGATAAAAAAAAAACATATTTTTTCTCTCCACAGCTGTCAGAATGGAGATCTTTGCCTACCAGTAAACCCCTTGCTTCTATGTATGTTAAGTTCTTTGGACAAGAGATTGCCTTCGCCAACATTGACAAACCTATGATTGACCAGGCTGTTGAGGTATTAAAATAGAAACATCACGCAAGCTAAAGCCAAATACATGTTTAGAACCAGTGGTATAAATGATGTACTCTTCCCTTTTAGTATGCAAAGAATTTACCAATTCAGGAATATGGAAGAGAAGCTCTTAAGGCTCTCCTCCTCTCTGGCATCAACTTCCACTATTCTAAGCCTGTGCTGGCTGCTGAGGTGCGACGCATTCTTCCTACTGCTGCTGGTCTTCCAATGGAACTCAGTCTGTACAGCGCTGCTGTTGCTGCAGCCTCTCTTGAAAGTGAGTAAAACACACATTTAGATTGAAAAACTACTCAAGCGATGAAAAACTTACAAGCTTTTTCTGTTTGTTCAGTCAAGCCCAGCACATCACCACGTCTGCCTGAAGATTTCCCCCTCAAGAGTCTCCTGGAGACAGACATCCAGCTCCAGGCTGAGATCAGACCAAGGTAGGTGTCTAGCTTTAAACACCTTTGATTTCACATAAATTTTGCATATAATGCTTGATGCAATAAAACTGAAACTAAAACCATTATTTTTCTTTTATCCAGTGTTGCCATGAACACATATGCAGTTATGGGCCTTAATACCGAGATTCTGCAGGCTGCTCTGGTAGCAAGCGCTAAAGTCCACTCTGTTATGCCAGCGAAAATTGCAGCAAAACTCAATATCAAAGAGGGTGACTTCAAGCTTGAAGCTCTTCCTGTTGATGTCCCTGAAAACATCACAGCTCTAAAGTAACCACTTGGAAGATTTTGACATTACTTCTATGCTTTTATGTAGAGCTTAGCTAATTAGTTCATCTTCTGTTCAACAGTATTACAACCTTTGCTGTGGCACGAAACATTGAGGAACCTGCTGTTGAAAGAATCACTCCTCTCCTCCCCACCAAAATCTTGCAATCCATCTCAAACAAGATTATCTCATCCAAGGCTGCTTCCTCTGCTAATAGCATGGTAAGTTTTTTTATATAGGTTTTATTTACACCTTTATATTTACAGTCATATTCTGATCAAATTTTCATTTGCTTGTCCTCCAGTCAGCATCATCAGAGCTCCTTCCTGTGGAAGAATCAGTACCAAGGGTTCCTGAACACAAAATTCGTCCATTTGCCAAGAGGTACTGTGCTAAGCACATTGGCGTTGGACTGAAGGCTTGTTTCAAGTTTGCCAGTGAAAGTGCTGCATCTATCCAAAACATTGTCCTCTACAAACTGGCTGGCAGCCACAATTTCTCTTTCTCTGTGACACCAAGTAAGGGTTGTCAGAATAATATTTGAGTTCTTTGTATAAACTTGTTGCAGAACCAAGGTATTAATAACATTTCTTTTTCCCTTAAAGTTGAAGGCGAAGTTGTTGAGAGATTGGAAATGGAGGTTAAGGTAGGAGCAAAGGCTGCAGAGAAGCTTGTTAAACGCATTAACCTGAATGAAGAGGAAACCGTTGAGGAAGGAGGATCAGTCCTGGTGAAACTCAACAAGATCCTGTCTTCAAGACGGAACCGCTCCTCATCTTCCTCCTCTAGCTCCAGCAGCTCCTCTTCCAGACTTTCCTCAAGGTCCTCATCTTCCTCCTCCAGCTCTTCATCTCGCTCTGCCCGTAAGATCAATCTTGCAGCCGGTAAATACAACAGCAGCAGGACCAATAGCAGCAGCAGTAGCAGCAGCAGCAGTTCCAAACGCAGCAGCAGCAGCAGTAGCAGCAGCAGCAGCAGCAGCAGGAGTGTCCGCAGTAGCAGCAGCAGCAGCAGTAGCAGGAGTGTCCGCAGCAGCAAGAGCAGCAGCAGCAGTAGCAGCAGCAGGAGCAGCAGAAGAGTTGGTTCCTCAAGATCAAGCAGCAGCTCAGCAAGGACCAGCTCTGCATCAAGCCTTGCATCCCTCTTCAGTGGCAGCTCAAGCTCAAGCTCATCCAGCTCCAGTTCTCGTCGCTCAAAGGTAAATATTTTCATCTCAGTTTTGCAGGAAGGTTCTTTCTCATGACACCATAGCACATGGAAAAACTCATAGCAATATTTGTCCTTTAAAGCAAGTAATTGAGAAGTTCCAGAAGCTACACAAGAAACAGCTCGGCTCCAGAGCAAGTTCCAGAAGCAGGAGCAGTGCTTCCAGCCTTGAAGCCATTTACAAACAGGTAAGATGTGGCCATTAGAAAAATAATGAACAATTACTCATATGATTTTTTTCTTTTGTCTAGTTTTGAGAGTGAACCAAAAGCAATTAACCTTGAATTTAACTGCAAAAGACATATCTTGGAGAGGAGGAAGCTGTCTTGGCATTGATCTTCCGTGCTGTCAAAGCCAACAAGAGGGTGGTGGGATACCAACTTGCTGCCTACCTGGACAAACCAAATGCCAGACTTCAGATCGTTGTCGCCAATCTGTCTTCTGAGAGCAACTGGAAGTTCTGTGCTGATGGAGTTGTGCTGAGCAAGCACAAAGTTACAGTAAGACTCTTTACTAGTTATGTAATTACAGTCTACAAAAAACCGTAATTGATCTATTCTCATGTAAGGATGCTTTTCAATAGACTAAGATTTCCTGGGGAGAACAAGGCAAGAAATACAGCACCAATGTTACAGCAGAGACTGGTCTTGTTTCTTCAAGTCCTGCAGCTCGCCTCAGAGCATCCTGGGAAAGACTGCCTTCTGCCCTGAAACGCTATGGAAAGATGTAAGATACTCTACACCTCATAAGACTCTTCAGATCTCAGAAAAAAAAAAACGTTTGTAAAGTTTCTGATATTTTTTCATTCTCTTCCAGGGTTAACAAATACGTTCCTTCTAGAATATTGTATGACTTGATTCACACAAAGAGCAACACCACAAGGAATATCTCAGTCATTGCAGTTGCAGCTTCTGAAAAGACAGTTGACTTCATTGCAAGAACTCCAATGGTATGAAAGGCCTTAAGCTTCTTCTCCCAGCAGCTATGTTTTTGTTGTTTCTGTGATTATATAAATTAACTCTTCTTTCAGAACACTTCCTACAATGTCACTGTGCGCCTTCCAATGTCTATGCCCATCAATGAGCTTAAGGGTCTAAGCCCCTTTGAAGAAGTCCTTGACAGAATCCACTTCATGGTTTCCAAGGCTGTCGCAGGTATTTCAGAATGTATATTTCATAGATAAAGATACTAAGGTGAACTTGGACCAGCAAATCAGAAGTATCTTTCATTGCTGTTTTCCAGCTGAATGCAGTTTCTTCGAAGACACACTCTACACATTCAACAACAGGAGTTTCAAGAACATGATGCCCTCCTCCTGCTATCAGGTTGTGGCACAGGATTGCACCAATGAGCTGAAGTTTATTGTTCTCTTGAGGAAAGATTCGTCAGAACAACACCATATCAATGTCAAGATTTCTGAGATGTAAGTTTCCAGTGCAAAGTAGAGGATTTTTTATCATCAATATTCAACATGATCAAAAGCTCAATGGTGTCACTTATGTGCTTTCAGAGATATTGACTTGTATCCAAAAGACAACAATGTCACTGTGAAGGTCAACGAAATGGAAATTCCCCACAGCAACCTGCCTTACCGCCACCCAACAGGTTACCCTGAACTTTCCATTCAGTTTTATTTATGAAATCACTCCTAACCATTAACTACAATAAATCTTAATCATCTCACTCATTTCTGAGTATTGTAAGTAAGTATGCATAATGAAACTGTTACAGGTTCCATTGAGATCAGACAAAGTGGACAGGGTATTGCTGTTTATGCACCTAGCCATGGTCTCCAAGAAGTCTACTTTGACAGGAAGACATGGAAGGTAAAATCCTAAGTATTTATATTCAGCTTTTATCTTTCCAAAACTTGGAAAAGATAAACAGCAAGGTTTTAGGGAAAGCTTATATATATTTATTTCTGTTTTCTAAACTCCCATTTAATATCCAATGTAGATCAAGGTTGCTGACTGGATGAAAGGAAAGACCTGTGGACTCTGTGGAAAAGGTGATGGAGAAATCAGACAAGAGTACCGCACTCCCAACGGACGCGTGGCTAAGAACTCAGTCAGCTTTGCCCACTCCTGGATTCTGCCTGCTGAAAGCTGCAGGGATGCGTCTGGTAAAATCAAATATGTGTCTGAATGTTTCATACATGAATAAATTATTTGCTGCTGTTTTTGCAAAATCTTACTTACCATCATTGCCCTTCCACAGAGTGCCGTCTGAAGCTGGAATCTGTGCAGCTGGAAAAACAGTTGACCATTCATGGTGACGAATCTACATGCTTGTCTGTGGAGCCCGTTCCTCGCTGTCTGCCAGGATGCATGCCAATCAAGACCACCCCTGTCACTGTTGGTTTCAGCTGTCTGCAATCTGGTGAGAATTTTTGAATACATATATATTACAATTTTGGTTTGAAAGTCAAAATTCTTAACTGGTGCATTTCCCTTGCCTTTGCAGATTCTCAGAGCAGTGTTTTTGACAGAAGTGTGGATTTGAAACAAACTACCCAGGCTCACCTGGCATGCAACTGCAACGCCAGGTGCTCTTAAATACGGCATTTCTTTTAAGTCTCTACTTTGTGTATGTTTCATGTGTAACAATAAATAAACTGCATCTCAAAATCATTTTATTGGAGTGATTATTTAAGTACAAAGTGCAAGGTACTTGCCTGACTCGGCAGGCATTGAAGTAAAAAAAAAAAAAAAAAAAGCTTTTCTTTTAAATTCTTTTGAAAATGTGTTGATCTGCAGCCATTTGGATTTTTATGTAGTTCAAACATAAAGCAAACTGATCCAAAATAATTATATCATGTCAAATTTAAGTAAAGTTAACAATCCTTCTTTATTAAAAAATAAAAAAAAATAAAAAAGAACAACAGAGTTGGAGAGAGGGTGGTGGGGTATAATTTCTCAGCAGTTTGCTCTCCTACAAGCAATACAAAAAAAAAGACAGGTATGTCACCATGTTTGCCTTGGGGACTTAAAGGGGTGAAAAAAAATTCTAAGGCCCATGATTGAAAGGGTACCACAAAGGCCCCTAATACAATTCTGATAGTAACATAATAATATGACACGGATAGATGCGCATGCAAATTCAAGTGAAAAAGCAGCTGCTCTAAAGTAAACGTTAATAAATCTTTTTGCATGTTTTTCCCCAAATGAAAAAAATCCTTACCTCCCACCTGAAATAAGTGTTGAAGGAGACAAACTTTTAAACAAAAGTTTAATCTGTCAAAATATTTAGGGAGGGTATTAGACAGTATGCTGTCCTTAAAAAGGACCGTTCCTAAACTAATCAAAACTGTAAAATTTAATCAGATTATATTTGCCATTGAAAAGTCTTTGAAAAGTCTCTTCAAACAAGTTCTAAAAATACTTGATAATAAAGGTTTTTCATACCACTACTGTAGTATTGTGAAAAAAATTTAAATTACCAACATTTGGAAACGTTATGCTCTACTCCAATGTTAGTTTAGTGATTAAAATTCTTCATAATCTGGCTCCACAGCCTCTAAAAACTTTTGTAAAATCATGTGATCAAGCAGTAAAGAGAACAACGCGTTCCTCTTCCATGGGAGAGTGCTCTTTGAATTTAAGGTCCATAACTTTTGGATAAAACAGTTTCTGTATTAGAGCTGCAGACCAATACAGAAGAACATTCCTGCCCACAGCTATCAACACCTGGTTAAAAATAACTTATGAGTTACTGCAACATTTATTTCCTTTTGGGATTAATAACGTATTTTTGAATTGAATTAATATTGAACTCTTTACCTTTGACTGTTTTAGAGACACTTGGCAAAAGTTTACATTTTATACAAAGAAATGGTTGAAAGATGGGCAAATGACTAATGCTACAAATAAGTCACTTATCTGATTTCAAGCTAGTGGCCTGTAATTAGACACTACCTCTACATAGAACTAAACACTTTTTTTCATATATTATTAAGTATTAATAACACACTATTATGGCCCTGCCCTGACCTGTTATTGCTTACCTTTGGTCAACACCACAGTAAGCAAAACACTACGACCAACCACTATACAACGCCCTACGGCGTAAATACGTCACCAATCCGACGAAAAATTAAATTACGCTTTACTCATCATTAAAGATTAAATATTTAACTTGCACACCTAAATACATATATATATCAATATATTTCAAAATATTTTTTATAAATTAAAATTACAAAAATATAAATTTTATAGTTTACTTTTAATTTTTTTTATGTCTTAATCAAAGCGCCCTAGCACCCTCTATTGGCCAGCCACCACTGCCACACAGTAAAAATCAGGAGCTGAGATCCTTCACATCAGATAACCAGTGGTGGATACTCATTATAATACATAAATAATAATTCCCTCATAATCCCTTTAAACCTGTAGGAGTCAGAACAGAGGAGCACAAACAGTGAGGGGGAGAAACAAATATCAGAAGAGAGAATCTAAAGAAAGGTTTGGCAAAACTACGAGGGCTTCATGAGCAGTAGTGTGATGTCTTCACAAAATGTGACAATGTGAAGCTAGACAGCCAGCAAACAATATGAAGAAAAATCTCCACACAAGGCTTACTTTTCTTGCATTCTCCGAAGGACCTTTATTCATAAATCTGGATTTGATTTCTTTGTAACAAAAATATATAGAAAAGGGGAAAAACTCATCACTGACCAATATCCATATCTGAATATCACCAGTACATTTTACACTTAGTTTAACTTTAGCACAAATATATCTGTGAAACATTTCTTGTGCTCTTTACTGAAAATACTTTCAAAGCATATTCAAGTGCCTTTTGAGCATTGGCGGATCAAGGGGGTGGCCCCGGATGTTTTTCCAAGAGCCCCGGATCTAAGCTTCTAAGCTGATCTGAGTAAAATGTGCAGTACTGGAATTCACCAGAGAGTGGCAGCATGCAGAAGCCGAAATGTTTCCCTCTCACTGCTGCCATTTTAGCCCATCTCAGTCCAGGTGGCTAAAATATTTGATTTTCCTCTCATAACTCCGGCAAATAATGATCACATGTCACCAAATCCACAGGATCTATTGTTGATGAATAGAGGAATAAACACAGTTAAAAACCTGCAGGTAAATTAATTTCTTCCCATGATATGGAGGGGGAACGGATTATTTCAGGCAGCTGAAATATCCATTCTATCCTCCTCCTCCCATATTTTTAGGAAATATGTGTGATAGAGAGTCGTATGCCTAAAATTTCTTTAATCCAGTAATTTGTCATATTTTACATCAGAATGGGATTTACCAGAAAGTCTACACTCTCACCTTCACCCTCAGGGCTAAGCCCCTGACCTCCTAGAATCCTAGATCCGCCCCTGCTTTTGAGTAAAGCAATACTCACAAAGATGAATATCTTCCATGGCAGAAGCATGTAGAACAAATTTTAACTTCAACATGAACAGTTTCTCTAGCTGACCTGCTGAAAAAGAAAATGGGAGTGCACTCACTACCTCACCTAATAAACATATAGCTTAAATCACTTCGATTTAATATAAACCCAAAACATTTTTGGCTGTTTTTAGCATGGATTTCTTTGGACTAATTTTAAACTATGAACTCAATTCTTATCTTACGTATGTAATTTATTCAAACCATTTATTTCTTGCTCTCTTTTAATAAATAGCAAAATTCCAAAAACGTTTCAAAATTAATAATTTCGGAGACTTTTAGATTGTTGTTAAATTGTTATTTGCCCTTGAGTGGATTTAAAAATACCAGTATTAAAAAAAAAAATAAAAAAAAATGTTAAGAAATCCCAAATCTGAAAGTGTGGGCTATTGTTCTCAGCATTAGATCCTGAAACTGTTGTTTGGGTAATTCTTACATTGATTTTTATTTTGTCTCCTGATGAGCACTGATTGTCCCCACCTGGGTGGCTCCCTATTTAAGCTCCTGCTCTTCCCCTGCTCTGTGCAAGATTGTCTGCCTTTCACAGCTTCCAAGCGCTGCTTCATGAGACAAGAATTACCCGGCATGTCTTTGACCACTGCCTATGCACTGACCTTACCATAAGCGAGTTGTATTTTTTTCTGATTGGTGCTGAACCTTGCCAAACTCTGAAACTCATTAAGCCCGCTGGATTTTTTTGAACTTCTTTGCCTAAGTGATCTTCTGTGCATGACCCTGGACTGGAAAAGGTTTTCAAACTGATGGACTATTGATGGCTGTAGCTCTGCTCCCTGTAACCCCAAGCCCCCAAGGTTCCCTTTTTCAAATTGGACCCCGCACTGCTGGAGCTGAACCTGGACCACTTGAGACACCCAGTTCTGTTGGGACCATTGTTTTGCTGTTTTCAAATCTTTTACTCAATCTTTGTTTTTGGTTGTTGGGTTCAGGCCTCTTCTGAAATCGTGACAATTAAAGGTAAACTGCAGCTATAAAAAACAAAACAAATAATAATTTGTGTCACATACATACCCTTTATGTTAATCAGTGCCCATGAGGTAGCTCTCGGGGTCATAAAGGTTGATGAGGATTGATATGAATATTAAAGATAAAACCTTTCAGTTGAAGTGCAACCATATCAGACTTATCAACAAAAATATAAACTCAACACTTAATTTTGCTTCCATTTTTTTTTATTATGAACTCTTAATTTTAAAAAAATTAAGATTTTAAACTTTTTCTACACACACAATATAATAATTTCCCTCAAATATTGTTCATAAACCAGTCTAAATCTGTTATAGGAAACACTTATCCTTTGCTGAGATAATCCATCCCACCTCACAGGTATGCCATATCAAGATGCTAATTGCACACCATAATTAAAGAGTTCTTGCATGGCCAACATACCCACCAGACATGTCAGCCATTGAGCATGTTTGTTATGCTCTGGATCAGCATATATGACAATGTGTACCAGTTCCTGCCAATATCCGGCAACTGTGCACCACCATTGAAGATGAGTATTAACTTCAGTGCTTTTTAATCTGCTGTTCCAAAATGGTCTATCAGATTCCAAAACACTGGGTGAGACTATTTTGTGATAGTCAGTCCTACCAGCTGTGCACCATATGTTTCATTAAATAAATGTATTTAGTTATACAAGAATGTGTTCATTTTCCTCCCTGTACTTAACAAATCCATCACTCCTAGGAGCTAAAACTTCCTAAGTCATGATTTAAAGGTTCGAAAGATGATTTTCTCAGAAATTAAGTGTCCAGATTCATCTAAAATGATGGCTGCACATATGGTTCCCACCTGCCGAAAATTTTTTAAATCCATTAACTCTGGCCATAGTAGTGCCTACAAATCATTAACCAAATTTCTTTGCCTACTGTCTAATGTGGATTGACAACTTGTTTGTCAAATATTTTGCATACGTGCCCCCAGTACATTATTTACGTAGGCTCCAAGCATAACTCATTTGCTGTTTGGGTAGCAGTCCGCCTTTACGCCGAAGCACAGATAAGAACTCCTATGCTTGTTTCTTGCTGTAGCTTTATTTTTTAGCTATTTTTTCACTCTTTTGTGTAAAGCAGCAGCAGTGAGAGCACACCAACAAATTGTAAATATAACTTGCAGTGACAACGCCGGCAGAGACCTCTTCTTCTTATGGAGATTTCCTGCTGACTAGGTGCATCCTGGCATTTTGCTGCCCCTTGAAGGAGGGGGCACTGACACATGTGCTCGATTCAATAACACACAAACAGCCGTTGGACATATTTTCCTCTTTCCTGCCTTTAAGAGTCTTTACTAATTTGCTGGGTTAAGATTTACTTAGTGCCCTCTCTCCTCACACCTGAACACAACAGAATTTGTATTAAATAGGTGTGGAGACATTGACAGGAGATATTTATTGTGTTCCTACTGCTGACAAGCTGCTAAAGCTCCAAAAACATATAATGGCCCAAACATGATGCCAATATGGCCCACTGGGATAGGTGGTTGATGCATTTGTCTTGAATTTGGATAAATTATTACTGACAAGTGTTCTTGCAATTGAAGATGTTGGGTTCAACAGAAAGTTCTTGTATTTTAGTAATCAGATCTCTTGAAATCTTTATTTTATTGTAAACAGAGCCAAATCTCTCTAGTGAGTTTAACTCACAAGACAAGTTTAGATTTTGTTTTTTTTTACTTAAAAAAACACAGCAAATGTTTTAGAATAGACTGACCTAAGTTCTGTTTTTACTTACTGAGAAGAGTTACATCAAAGTTTTTTCTTATTATTTTAATGCTAAAAAAAATTTGTCAAGTTTTGTCAACAAGTTTTTTGTGTGTTTTACTCTCTTTTTAACGAGAATCTTTTGGCCCACAGCTACTTGTCTTAATATTTTTAGCTTACATTAGAGAAAGTTTAGAAACTACTGCTATACAACTTTTCAATAAGATCTATAAAAAAAAAAACTTTCAAAACGTTTTAATATATGTCTATCAATAGTACACTAGCACCATCTAAAGGACAAAGGGAGATAGTGCAGGTGAAATATCAGAGATCAGACAATTCATCATGTTCAGTGATGTTTTGCATTAAAACCTGTAGAAAACCACAACTACACAAACAGTTGTGTAGTTTAAATATAACCGATATGTACATTTATAGAATATACTCCCTCCTACACATTTACACAGAAAAACAGCAGTTCAGATACTAATAAACTTGATAATAAAAAAAGGGATAGATTCCTTCAAGGGATAGATTTGTAGACATTAAAAATGTCTACAAATGTCAACACTGTCAGTTTCAACATAAAGTATTACACTCAATGATTTTAGTACCACATAAATAAATAAATGCTATTCTAAAAATTTTATAAAAAAAACGAATTCAAAGTACATTAAATATGAAATTATTACTTACTATTCAATAAATAAGTGTTTTTAATTAAGAGTAATTTTCAGTTGAATGTGCTTTGTTGGAGACATCTATGTTGGTCAAAGAACACTACTGCCACCTTACAGTTTGTGACGTCACGGTGCGGTATCGGTTGCTGAGCAAGTCCCAGTGCTGTATATGGTGTTTTTCACAACGTGCTATTATCCAAGTCATCTTGAAAACATTCTTCTTCGAAATGTTGGCTGCATACTATGTGTTTTTTCCCCGGCCAGAAGTTCGATGGCAAATCCTCCGTCTTTAAGTTGGCAATCCAACAACGTACCTGTCCTTGGAGGATTATGAATCGGAAAGGTGAAATAACAAATTTTCTTTCACTTTCACCTGATGTATTATAGCATCAAACTGCCATGCACATGGGCATTGTCAATTTAACTATAGCTCTTGGAAATGTATTAGTTTTAGGCATAGATAATGATCCATTGATTATTCCTTTGCTGACCGGACTTCTCCTTTAAAACGTTTTATTATTTCTTTTGTCCCTTTGCTAAGACTGTTATTTTGTTCTAGACATTGACAGGATATGTTTGGCTTCATGTTACTCTGTGACCTCTTCACACATTTCTGCAGCTGTGGAAATAGAAAATTAAGAATGGTTCCAGGACTTCATGAAGTGCTGTTCTCCTCTGAGAGTGAATGGCTGCTGAGGTCTTTGCTCTCCTTCCACTGTTTGCGCAGCAGAGGAACATTTTCATGGAGTGAGTTGAAATCCTCAAACAGTTCAGATTTTCTGTGTTCTGATGAGCTGCAAGTTACACGTTACAAAGACAGTTACATATGATTATAATTAAATTAATAAGTTATCACTTTACAAATTTAAGTTCATAGAAAGACATTATACCCATTTTCTGGAATAAGACAAAGAGCAGACTCCAAGTCAGCAGTGGAAGATGATGTGAGAGAGACAGATCTGGACTTCGGAGATACCAAGACTGACTGACATTCATGGGGCATTTCTGAAGCGTTTAGTGAACCCACTTCAGTTTCAGCTGTTAAGGTAAAACCATAACTTAATCACAAGCCACAAATTAACTGGAAAATTCAAACAAGCTTCAGGAAAGACTCACTTATCAATAAAGCACTTGCAGACTTCAGCAGATGAGGTTGGTTTGAGTTTCCAAAGGGACTCATACTGAGAAATTGCTGTTTGAGCCATAGTGCACGATCCTCCTCAAAGATCTTCCTCTGCAATTATGTCAAAAAAGGTTGAAAAAATAATTAACATATTAAATATAAGACAAACCTGTTGGGTGGTTTAACCTAGAATCTAAAATTGACATTCTTAATAAGGCTGCGCAGTGGTGTTTTTAAAAGAACGCCAGTTCCTCTGTCAGTATATCAAGGTTTTTTATGTTTTTTTTATTTATTATTATTTTGTTTGTTTTAAATAATTGGTGTTTGTGATTGTGCGGCTGAAAGGATTTTGCCAGTTTAGTCTCAAGTTTAGACATTGGTTACGATAGCAACCATGGCAAGTAGTTTTTTAAACACTTGAGTTGGGCTCATTATCATAAAAAAAGCTTTAAATACTTCCACAAGACCTAGTTGAGTTTAAAAGGGGGTGCCAGAAATGCTAATCAGGAGCAAGGAGAAGAGGAAGGAGGAGGAAATTAAACTCAACTTTGTCACAAAGAATGGAAGTAACATTCCCTATAAACAATCAGTCCTCCCTATCAAAAATATCTTGATCCAGGTTTTTCTACTTTTAAACCAAGAGAGATACAGGGGGGAACTACTTTGGTGTCATTTGATTTGTCCAGTACATTTAGCACTATTCAGCCTGATTTGCTTAATCAGAAACTCCAGAAGACTGAGGTGGAGGCATCAAAATCTCCTGGATCAAACGCTACATGAAACAGACCGCAGTTTGTGAACCTGAAAGTTCAAATTTATAATCAGGCAGTCGGCAGCACAAAAGCAACACAGGGGAGGGTATTCTAACTTCTCCCTTTTGCTTTGCACACCTCTGACTTCTATTTAAAAACAGAATCCTGTTTTTTGCAGAAATACTTGTGTGACTTTGCAGTTGGGGGCATTTGAGATGGACAAGAAGTTGAGTAAAGGGAACTAGTAAACTGCTTTTTGTAATGGTGTCGAAACAACCTTCTGATCCTGAATGTGAAAAAAAACTGGGGAGAGGATTGAAGATTTTAGAAGAAATGGGAACAAGTTGAATAGGTAATGGGAGAAGAAGGGGAGGTGATGAAGATGTATTAATACATCGGTCTTCACCTGGACAAGAGACTTGACTGGAGACCCACCTCCAGGATGTCTACATGAAGGCACAGATCCGACTGTACTTCTTAAGGAAACTTAGATCATTTCAGTGTTTGCAGCAAGATGCTGCAAAGTTTGTTATAGAGGGTGATCTCTTGTGCAATCATGTGCCGGGGTAACAGCATCACAGCAAATGACTTGAAGAAGCTCAATAAGGTGCTTTACAGTCCAGCACTGCTCTAGGCTCTTCTCTAGAACCTCAGGAGATAGTTTCACAAGGAAGAATTGTCCATAATAAAGAGAATTAATGAAAACAGTGAGCAACCTCTTCAAAAAACAGTAACAGGTTGGATTCAATTAAAGGTGACCTTTAAAGTAGACCGCTACAGGATATCCATACTGTCTACAGCTATCAGTATCTTCAAAACTTCTTGAAAAAAAATCTGTAAGTTTCAACAAAATGTAACTATCTTTTGATCAATAAAGTATTTCTGAATTGTATTGAATTAATCACCTCATGGCTTAGTCTAATAGCTGCTTCAGTATAGTTCCTCCGTTCCCTCTCAAAGATGCGTCTCTGTTCCTCTAAGCTCTTCCATTCTTCACTAAGGTGCATCTTCTCCTGCAGCATGAGGCCATCATTCTGCAGTGATGCTGAGTCTTGATCAATCGAGGAGCTCAGCTGCCTCTGCAAACAGACACAGAGAGCAAGCAAGATCTCAGTACGGCATTTAGTCTTTTCTGTTCATTTACAAAAATCTGAATTGGCAAAAACCTTTTTCCCTGAGTTTAGGAAATGCTTGATGGTTTGAAGTAGACATTTTCAAGAATTCTAGATACTTTTATTTTCAAACAGACAGGTATAATGGGGTTATTTTATCAGTGCCTTTTTATAGTGCAGGCCAGAGAGAGCAGGGGCTACTACAGATTGCTTTTTAAGTAGAAGACGGTTGGACCTCTGTTGTTTCTTGAAAACATCTCATCATTAAATAACATTGCTTTTCTAATGTCCACTATGTCTTGCTTTTTTTAGGTGTTAAATTTTAGATGAGAGTCTTGACATCATTAAATTAAAGGAATATGACAGGACCAATCCAGATAAAGTGACATGAGTTCCCAACATACTTAAGAATCCTATCATTGCATTGAAAATTACTCTAACATTTTTTACAATGAACATTCATGTGAAGGTGCATTATTTCTTTATAAAACAATGCAGAGTTTCAGCCTTAATCTAGTCCTCATTAAATGACATTAATTTCCTGAAACAGGATTAGAGCTAATTTGGGATCGTAATGAGAAGACATCACAAAGATTCCCAATTTGACCACATATCTAATGAGAAACTCCTTTATTTACTTTGGAAAGGATTCATTGTTCGTTAAAGATTTTAGCTAAAGTTGCAACCTGTTTAAGCAAGATAATTTGAAATTTAGGTCCAATAAAAAAGACCTTACCTGTAGGAGATGCTGCTGTGTTTGAATGAAGTCTTTGCACTGCTGAATCTCCAGCTTTAGTCTGTCCATCTCCTCCTTATCTTCACGAGAGACATCATGTACACCTTTAGACTCAGACACTCAGTCATACTTACTAAAAAAAACTAGATGAAAGTTAGGCATGTCTGAAATGTATTATAAATCAATATTTTTTATTATTGATTGTCACTAAGAAACGGGAAAAGAAGAGTCTTGGGAATTACTAAAACATTTCTAACAGAGCATTAGGTTCCTCTGAAATAGTTTATCTGTTGCACTCTGTCAGATGTGTTGGCTGATTTTAGAAAATACTTTGAATCCTCGATCTTTAAAATTCAAATATTTAGCCACATATAGAACAGAAGAATAAGAACAAAATTACTCCGATGGTTAACTATGAATGGTGGCATTATGTATTAGTAAAATGTATTTGGAAACAACAAACTGTCTTCAAACCATACAAGATTTTACTCCAAACTACCTTGACTGTCTAGTTTTTCAACGTGACTTTTCAATCTTCTCCACTGTAGGCGAATACTGTTGGTCAGTTTTTCCCTGGCATGAATACAGAACAGCTCAAGGCTTTCCTTGCTGGAGTCAAACACCTCGTTCTCTTCGTCGTCTGAGGCAGTCTGAAAAAAAGATACAATCTCTTGTTGGTTTAGAGGTAAAGGTATGCAAATTATTAAGTAAAAGATATTTTCATGCCAGTTTCTTTTTTTTTTATGGGGGCTAAAATTAAGCAATTAGAAACCTTTTTATTAATCTAAGAGAAATTTTAACAGAACAGCATTGCTATTGATCTTACAGTGAACAACAACATACTCCAACCTGCATGCCATTAAGTTCCTGCTTTTCTTCTTTCAGGGCCAGTTTTCTTGACTTCAGGATGGACACCATCTCTTTCTTAATTTGCTGCATCACCTTCCTTAACTCTTTGTTTTCCAGAGCAAGCTCCCTCTGCCTCAGTTCGTAGTCACTCAGAAGAGTCCTATACATCTCCTCCTCATGCCTTCAGATCAGAAACACGAGGGTAGTCTATGTCAACAAATGGTTATCAAGCTTAAATGAGCAAAGAGACTAAAAATCTACAATCCAGTTAAGAAGCTAGAATTGGATAAGAAATTCTCGAAGCTCTAAATGTTTAAGCACCATCTTACATTAAAACTAGATAATAAATATCAAAAGACTAGATAGCCTATTAAGTTTGAACTTGAAAATTTAGCCAAGACAGATGCTGTCCTCTTTGAACCACAGTGACAAAGGAACTGTTTAGTTAGTCCATCCATTAATCTGGAAGAGATTAAACTGGTCTCTGATAAAAAAAAATACTTCCTTACCTCCAGAGTATTGCCATGTTTAGGAATATTTTGTCCATGAGTGATGCTTAAAAACAAACCAATGCATTCCTTATTCTAACCTTAGAATTTTATTTTTCTTTAGTATCAGGAACAAAATCTCAAGTCTGCAACCGAAATATAGAATGTTAAGTGAAAGCCCTTTGGGAAACTCCAACTCCCATTGTCATTGTGACACAGCACACACAAGTGAACACTGCGCACAATGAAATTGCATTTATGCCTCACCCGTGCAAGGGGGCAGCCCTCAAATGGCGCCCCAAGGGAGTAGTGTGGCGGGACGGTACCATGCTCAGGGTACCTCAGTCATGGAGGAGGATGGGGGAGAGCGCTGGTTAATTACTCCCCCCACCAACCTGGCGGGTCGGGAGTCGAACCAGTAACCTTTGGGATCCAAGTCTGACACCCTAACCACTCACCCACGACTGCCCACGTGGAATCTTCCGATATCAGACAAAAAATCTAATAGCGGAATATTGGGCCTTTATCTAAAGCCTTAGATTTAAGCATGTTGACAGAAACACTCTGGTTTTGTTAGAAGTGCACATGACCCATAGGTTAAACATAAAGAGATCAGTTGTTCTCATAACTATTGTTGTTGACCATTGTTTTCTGTTTTAGTAACATAAGTTGCTGAAGACATTTTTTAACATTCAACATAACAAAATAAGTAATAAAAGCACGTATGAGTCCTGCTGATATCTTATCGGGTCAATATCGGTATCGGTCAGTACTCAAAGGTGCAATATCAGTATTGTAGGGAATAGGGAAACTCATAGTCAATTATATAATCTTGATTAAGCTATTAATATTATTTTATCAATGTAAAATACGTTTTGGTACAATAGTCTAATCATTTTCATTTTGTGGAAATGTCAGTTTGTATTCAACTCCCTAATGCCAATAAAAGCATTCTATATTAAAGGAATAGTACACCCAAAACATGATTAGCCTTCATTTTCCACTCACCCCCATGCTGGACAACACTCTGGAGTACTTTTTTGATATCTCAAATGCATCTGGAGATCTGGGAGGCTTCTTGCTGTCTGCTGACATTCAAATAATGGAGGTCTATGGTGCCCGAGGCAGAAAGGTCCATAAAAGTCCACAAAAAACGTGTCAATATTCCTCCATACTGCTCGTCCAATATATCCCAAGTGTCCTGAGTGGATAGCGTCCATAATTTACTCGAAACGAAGTCATTTAGAATGTTTTTAGAGCATAAACAGTCGTGTATAGGATTTCCTAAACGCGCGTTCACGAGTCTACGGAAACCGAGGCAGACCAAACCAAATGAAAGTGCGCATTCAGCGTCTGCTCTGACGATAATGCAAGCGTAGAAGAAGAAATGTGCTGTTTATCTGTGCAAAGAAAGAAACAACAAAAGAAAAATGTCTGAGGACTTCAGTGTTGAGGAAGAGCATGAGTTCTTTGCCGAGCTGAATGCGCACTTTCATCTGGTTTGGTCTGCCGCGGTTTCCGTAGACTCGTGAACGCGCTTTTAGGAAATCCTATACACTACTGTTTATGCTCTAAAAACATTCTAAATGACTTCGTTTCGAGTAAATTATGGACGCTACCCACTCAGGACACTTGGAATACATTGGACGAGCAGTATGGAGGAATATTGACACGTTTTTTGTGGACTTTTATGGACCTTTCTGCCTCGGGCACCATAGACCTCCATTATTTGAATGTCAGCAGACAGCAAGAAGCCTGCCAGATCTCCAGATGCATTTGAGATATCAAAAAAGTACTCCAGAGTGTTGTTCAGCATGGGGGTGAGTAGAAAATGAAGGCTAATCATGTTTTGGGTGTACTATTCCTTTAAGACCTGAAACCTTTAAAATTAAATATAGCAAAGTGGTTTATAAAACACAATCAGAACCTACTTTGCTTCTGTCTTTTCGGTTTTCCACAGGCTTCTCTTTCCATCAGCTCTTCCAAGGTTGTTTAGTAAGTCAATGGCTGAAAGAAAAAAAAAAGAATGTCAATCAATTTAAGTGTAAAGGGTTTCCAGCTAGTGTGCAGATAAGTAGTTTACAACCTTTTATCTGTTTGGTTGTTTGTTTCTGTGTCCTTAGTCATTAGAAACAGACATCAGTGGTATAAACAGATTTTGTGTGTTGTTATATTGCCCACAATGAAATGTTCAAACCCTCTCAGTTTATTAACAAATAAAAATAAATACTTCCTTTACATTTTCTTCTTTAATTTTCTTCCTAAAATATCTAATTTAATTTTTTTCACCAAATCTGCCACTTTTACTTTCAGTACAGCAAAGGAATGATAAGCCAATTGCAGTGCATTGATAACAATTCTAAAATCCAAGCTAAATATTAATTATGCCAATTAACTTCTTTTTACTTTGTTTCCTTTCCTTTTTGTCAGCCAGGAGTTGGTTCAGTCGTTCCCTCAGTTTGTTCAGTTCTCTCTCCCTCCTTTTCATTTCGTGATTGTACTGACAGGCACGGCTTGAGATGATGTTCTGGAGTTTTTGCACCTGGGGAGAGGAAGGGAAACAAAAAAATTCAAGGGAAAAAAAATAAGCTGATCCCTTATGCATAAAAGGAAACCTCAGGATTATTAATTAAACTGGTTCGCATTGCCTCTTCTAATCTCATCTAACCTCGTCTTTTTCATTTTTCAGGGAGCTCTGCAGACTCTTTAGTTTCAGGTGCAGCTGTCGTTCTCTTTCGAGCAGGCCTGTGTTTTGTCGTTTAGAGAGCTCAACCTCTTCCTGCACAACAGAATGCAAAGTGTTACTGAACACAGTGAAATTCAACCTTCATTTTTTGCAAAAATTACAGGTTTTGTTCCATCAGTTATAATACAGTACTAAAAAAAAAAACTTAATAAATTTTATTACACCTTTAGATGAGTGTTATTAGTCTTCAGGTTATCCACATAGCTGCTGAGTTTAAGCTGTTCCATTTCCATATTCTCCAGTGTTCTCAGACTCCTGTGGTGCAACTGAATCAGGTCATACATGCAGTTCAGCACAGCCACTACATTCAGCTGTGAGTCGTCATCTAATTCGGTCCAAAAAGGCGAGAGGCTCAGCAATGACACCTCCTACAAAAGACAAGAAATGTTTACAATAGATGCAATAAGAATTTGCTGCAGATAGGTATAGATTTTAAAATTAAAACAGGTATAACAAAAAGGCTTACAAACCTGTTTGATATAAGAAAGACATTCCTGCATATTGTGCTCTGTGCAGAAGGTTCTAAGACTTTGGGAGTTTCTGGGAAGTGCCAGCGATGACTGGCTGAAGTGCCTCAAGGGAGGTGTTCCACATTCAACAGAGCAGCGGCGAGCATCCTTGACTTGAAGAAGAAATTATGTCTGTCAAATATCTCCTCTGCACTGACGTATGAAATAATTAGGGACTTAGTAACTGAAAAAGCATTTGAAACAAGATAGGGGACTAAATGAGGAGAAACCTACTAGACAGAAATACATTTGTTACCATTAGTTCCAATATATTGTATTACTTCAGTACTTTTAACTTACCTTGAGAGGAGTCTGGCATTGTAGTAGTGCTGCTGTCCGCTATCCAATGTGGAAAATCTACTGCATGGGCTGATTAGAAAACATGACGGCAAGATCCACCGACCCGGTCCTGAAATAGAGAACCAGATTAGCAGTGGCCATTCAAAGCACTCTGGATTACAGGGCTATAGGAGGCTATAAAAACGTAGCAGTCAAGGGTGCAAACCAGGAGCAAACTGGGTAACAGCAGTTTAGAAAGGAGCACATAACTTAGAGCTACTATTATGATTATGTTGGTAGTTTGAGTGCATGGTATCATAGCTTGTAATGGGCAATGGGCTAAAACAAGGCTGCTAATTTTTCTTAATGGAATAAGCTGTTGATCAGATTAACACCAGACAGACAATCTGTTACTTTATTTCCAGAGAGACACAATCAAATAACATGGAGAAAAAACACACAAGACAACAAATATGTTTCTATAAGATAACAAATGTGCTTTAAATTAAAAGAATTATGATGTTTTGCCAACAATATTTGCAAAATAGCTGTATAAATGTAATAGAATTTTAAATTAAACCAATATATTTTTTGTAGAGACAACTCTATGATCCTTCTTTGTGGGTTTCTTTTTTAAACATCTCTCTTCCCTATGTTACTTCTTAGAAGATAATGATATAACTCAGTTCAGGAAGATCTGCCTTTGCTCTCAGTGATATTTAATCCTGTTAGACAAATGGAAAATCCCCCTGTTGTCAAGAAGCTTACAAGGCTACCATCCAATTTAGACTAACTACAAATGTTAACCTTTAGAGCATCTTAAAATTCAGGATATATGCCTGGAATTTCCTCATCTCAGGAATTTGATCATTGACCCACATCCATTCATTTAAATGACCTGTTAAACGTTCTGAATCAATTAAAAGCTTCAATTTAGTGCATCTTAGCAGCAATGAAGCTAATTTTATTTAAATTTACACAACATGAGTAAAGATCATTAACATAAACACAAAACTGCATACATCTTTAATTAAAAAAAACAAGAATAACAAACCGATCACGCTGGGTAATCAAACTGTATGGACGGGGTAAATCTTCAAAGTATATTTAGAAAAAGGGAAAAGAAAGCTTTATGTTTAATGTACTCACCCGTGCTTCAATTAAAGCTGTGTTCCGAGGCAATGATCTCCAGCTCTGACTGCCCTTGTATAGCATACACACATCAAACACAGCGCCGATTGGTCCAGTCATTGCCTAGCAACCAAACATGGCTCAACGCGATTGGCTGCTGCCTCTGAGATAGTTGGAGCGTTCTTAAATTAAATAAATATTTTACGTTCGCCTTCATTTTAACATAGGCTTCAAGCAAAAGGTTTTCATCATCGGATTAGTTCACAAATTATCTAAGAACAAAGCAAAATGAGGCGATTTCATATTCCTCTGGTGTCTTTTAGTTACTAATAAGTCTGTTTTTTAAGATGCATAATAATAACTATATATATATATATATATATATATATATATATATATATATATATATATATATATATATATATATATATATATATATATATATATATATATATATATATATATATATATATATATATATAAAAACAAAAGCAAAAAAAAAAAAAAAACAACAAAGCTGGGTGCAAGAGAGTTGCAAAGAATGAGTCCCTTTGAAATTAAAAGAAAGCCTATATGGGTGGAGGCCAAGGCAACACCACTAAAGACTACTTTTGTTCAACCAGTCACAGGACTGGAAAGCTTGGCTTTGCCCCTCGGGACTGGGAGTAAGCCCATTCTCATTAATTATATGGGACCCCACCCTATAGACACAAAGTAGCAAAGTAGAAGCCACGCTAAAAGAACAAAAAAACAAATCACATGTCTTTTTAAAAGTTGCTTGAATGTCATTTAAACTTTTTTGTTACTTTCATGCCATTTTAACGACATGTATCTCACAACTGTGGCATTCAGTTCACATAAAAAAAAGCTTTATTTTTTGGAAGATAATTTAATAACAGTTAAAAATTAGGGACCTCAAGTGAGGTGTATTTGTTTCAGACTGAAAATAAAATGTTTATGTAAATTAAATGAAATCCATATAAAATGTGGCTTTAAAGTAAGTCAAATGTATACTGTGTTCATACAGATGATCTAAGGAGTCATATGACCATGAGTTGATCTGGAATCTGTTAGCCATGATGCTTTTGCAGATTTTCAAGGGAAATGCTCTGATCTTTATATTGGAGAAACCAAACAACCTCTTCATAGACACATGGCCCAACACAGAAGAGCGGCCTTCTCAGGACAAGACTTTGCAGAACATCTACACCTTATGGACAAAGCACATTCTTTTGAGGACCAGAATGTTCACATCATCTGGATGACTCTTAACTTCCTGCTCCTTAATGCAGACAATACAGAAGTTAGAAGTCTTTGAAAAAGAAGCTGATTATTCAGTCACTTCATTTGGATGGGATTAAACTGATTTCAGATCATAAAGCAGAAAAATCTTGGTGTTATTTTTGATCAGGAGCTGTCATTTAAATACCATATCAAAGAAGTTTCTAGAAATTCCTTCATTCATCTGCGCAATATTGAAAAAATTTGAAATATCCTGTCCAGGGGTGATGCTGAGAAACTAGTAGATGCATTTGTTACCTCAAGGCTGGACTAATGTAATTCTTTACAATAAAGAAGTCCACAAACTGTAGTTAAAAGTCTTCAGCTGATCAAAAATGCTGCAGCCAGAGTTCTGATGAAATTAAAAAGAGAGATCATATCTCTTCATTGGCTTCGTATTAGATCCAGAATAGAATTTAAAATCGTCCTTCTCACATATTGACCTTAAATAGACAAGCTCCATATTATATCAGAGATATGATTGTTCCTTATGTTCTTGATAGAGCACTTTGCTCTCAATCTGCAGGTTAGCTAGTGGTCACTAGAATTTCTAAAAGTGGTACTTGGTTCCTCTCCTGTGGAACCAACTACCAGTTTCAGTCCATGAGGCAGACACTCTGTCTACTTTCAAGGGTAGGCCTGAAACTTTCCTTTTTGAATAAATGTATAGTTAGAGTGGCTCAGGTTATCCTGTGCTATATAATAAGTTATGCTGTTATAGGCTTAGACTTCTGGAGGACACAGGGACCCCTTTTTCATAATTCTGCTTCATTCTATCTCTATTCTCCCACTCTGCAGAATGTGTTAATCTCTAATGTTATGCCATCTATGCTTTTTCTCAGAGTAGCTTCATCTGGCTGTTCCTGTTTGACTGTGACACCATCCTGTTGAGAAATATCAGCTGTGCTGCTGCCATCAACACCCTTGTTTATAGGTGTTGGAGATCGGCCTGTTTTTCCTGACTAGTCCGGTTTCTCTGACTGTGACTGGCTGGATGTGCTCTCTTCATCCTCGGACATGGTATCTGGCTTGGAGCTCGTCTGCCTGGCTGTGTGTTTCCTGGACGGGGCCGCCTTTTACAGCTGCTTTTTTTTTTATCTCTGCTTCTGTCTCCTTGAACCCCAGTCGGTCTCAGCAGATGGCCGCTCACACTGAGCCTGGTTCTGCTGGAGGTTTCTTCCTGTGAAAAGGGAGTTTTTCCTCTCAACTGTCACGAAAAGCATGCTTAGTATGAGGGATTGCGTTCAAGTGAATGAGTCGAAGCAATCAACTGGTTTTCCTTAGATAGAAAACTTTGAATCAATTTGACTGCATGATCTGGTGAACTGTTAAGTGTCTTTGGATAACATGTGTTGTTATTTGGTGCTATATAAATAACCTGAATTGAATTGAATTTTAGACAAAGAAAATTGGTGGTTTAAGAGGGACGTGAAGGAAGCCATCCATGTCAAGAAAGAAAAAACAACATTAAACAGAGGGGGTGGACTCAGATTTCAGCTTTACAAAAACCTACACTGCAGCAATTGATTTGATCCCTTCCCGTTATCAGCGCAACTGCAACCAATGTACAGGAGAGCAGAAGACCTTGCCTATTAAGCCAGGCCAACAGTTCCCTTTAATGACACCCCTTTCAGTGTGTTAGACGGGTATGGGGCATTGCAGGCTATCTAAAGAAGCCAAACGACCCCCATTCCAAAGGTGTGGACCCATTCGTCCGTTTCAATTTGCATGCTTTCAAAACAAAAACAAGGCTTTGTTGGGCTACTGTATAAAGCCTTGAACTTGAAACAAAGCGAAATGTCTGCAAACTTGGAAACAAACTGACCTTTAAAGGCTTTTATTTAGTTGTGTGATTACTTATTTATGTTAACTATTTAGGGAGTTTTTGATATATTTAAGAACCTTCTGAGGCCCAGCATACCTTGTTGGGACCAAAGGCTGGTCCTGTTGTTATGGACCCACATTTATTATGTAAGGGAGTCAGTTTAGACGTATGGTATGGTATTCCATCTAGGTTAAAAGTAAAGGTTAGGCATAAATGCAGAAACGAAAGTCAATGTAAGTCAATGTAAACTCCTAATATGGATGAATGGAATCTATTTACTGTCAGAGTTCAGCCATGACTTCAAAGTAAAGATGTACAAACTGGTGACCCAAATTTTGCCTTTGTTTTTTTTTTTTTAAGCAGGTTATTCTAGTGCTATCAAAATGTAAATACATTCAACAGCCACAAGAAGAAATAAATCCCAAACATATAACAGCCAATAACTATAACATAGGTGGGTGCCTTTACACAGTGACATATTCTTAACTTACCTGGATCTTATAAACAAGTGTACAAATGTTTTATTTGAATAAGCATTACATAAAAATGTGCTTTATGCTTGAATTAACTGAATTTACAAAACACATATTTAAAGCAGAGAAAAAAGTTTGGGGAAGTTATTGGTGTTACAGTGGTTGGATTTTAGTTTGTGAGAAAATATGTTGTCTGAAATACCACTAGATGGCAGTGCATCCATCCAGCCAGATTCAGGTTTAATAAATTACAAATTGTCCCAATCCTGCAAGATAGGACCTGCATATATTGATAAATATATGATATCTAGGTCCATAAACGTTAAATATATGCATTGCTTTTCTCAGGGTTATCAACACATATGAAACATTTTTAATTTTGACACAATTCTCTGTTTCTGTGCAATTGCTTCTTCTCTCTGTCTGTTTGTTTACTTGTGGAACTGTGGGCTCATAATGATCAACCTTTGGAAAAACATCAGAAATTCTCTCACGCTAAAATAGGTCTCAAATGCAAAAATTGTATTTATTGTTTTTATCATACGGCTGAATTTATATAATATTACAAGTAACAAGTCCAACTGAGGAGCATTGTAACTGCAGTCATGACAGTCAGACTATTTTACTTTAAATGTAAAATATGCCCCACAATTTAGGAAACATTTTCTTCCTGTTGTGCTATTTAAATATGTCAGTGAGCATAACAGCATCACCGTGTGGAATTGTGTTAATAAAAATAATTCTAAAACTGCTTAATGACAAAGTAAAACTACTTTGCTCCTTTTATTTAAAAATGTGACAGATTACACATTGTTTTTCATACTTTGGGATCAGAAAGAAAAGCCTGTTACACGATTCTTTGCTCGTCCCAAGAGTCTGGTACAGTTAAATAATTGTGCTGGTATGGAGCAAATATCTAAAGGAAATTGGTGGGTAAAATCTATAATCCAAGTCTTCAGTCTGACTAAAAGGAAGCTAGATCAAGTTGTGCTTATAACCACAAGCTGAGAAGAGAAATTTGTGTTACATGAAAGCTAAAACCCTTAGTGCTGTGTATTTCTTTTAATCACAACAAACCTTTTGATAATATTTTTAACATTTCTGTCTTCTTCAGCCAAACACCCGAATTTCTTACATACAAAAGAAACAGTCGGTCAGACACACTTGAAGATTAATTTTATATCCTAACTATCTTGTAGAGTTCGTAGCAGGTGGTTTGTTCTGTCTGTCTTTAGGAAACAACCTGCCAAGTAAATAATGCAGAAAAGAGAAGCAGTTTGTTATTTTATAGTTTGGGGATCTCTGAAGATGTGCAATGGGTCTGTCTTGTCCTGTAAACACATGTGAATATCCAGGTCCAGAAAGTATAAACCCTAGTTTTCCATCATAATGTTCACTTAACCAGGCTATCAGCATTCCCTCTGTGCTGTGAAGCTGGAAATGCAAATTGTTGAACTTAATCTCTGTACAGTGGTTTTTACTTTCTGGATCTGGATTATCCTCTTTCTGCATAAAATATTGAAAGTGTGAGGTCTATATGTGTAATACTGTAT